ATTTTGAGATAGGGTCTCACTATGTAGTTGAGGCTGACCTGGAACTCACTATGTAGCCCAGGGTGGTCTCGAACTCACAGCGATCCTCCTGCCTCAGCCTTCCGAGTGCCGGAATTACAGGTGTGCTCCACCACACCTAGCTTACAATGTGCTGCTTTTAACTTGTGTTTCTGCCATTATTCGGAAGGTCATACTCCACATTTCATAAATGAATTATCTTTGACCATTTCATCTCTAAATTATCTATTCAAATCTTTGTCACACTTTTCAATTTAAACGTGTTTACTGATTTGTAGGTGCTATTTATACATTATAGATAAAAATTCCTTATTAATTTGCAAATGTGTTCTCCTATTTTATCATCTGTTCTTGTCATTGTTTTTGTTAAGTGCACAGATTTCAACAAGGGTAAGCACATTCACCTCAAATAACTTATCTCCAGAACTCTTTGGAGTTCTTAAAACTGAAGCCCCACTCATTAAACAAGTTTCCCATTAGCCGGGTGTGGTGGTGTACACCTGTAATCCCAACACTCAGGAGGCTGAAACAGGAAGATCTCCGTGAGTTCAAGGCTAGCCTGGACTACACAGTGAGACCCTTTAAAAAAAAAAAAAAGTGCCCCCTTCCAGCCCAACAACCACCATTTTACTTTCTGTCTCTGTGAATTTAACTATTCTAAGGTAGCTCAGATTAAGTGAACTCATGGGTATTTGCTATTTTATGACTTATTTCATTCCATAGAATGTCCTTAACCTTCATACACATTGCAGTGTATGTCAGAATCTTCTTCCTTTGAAGGACTGAATAATACTCCATACCTCATTATTTTATGTTTATTCATTCACTCACTGATAGGCTCTTAAATTGCTCGATGTTTCAACTCTTATAAATTCAAATACCCATCTGTTCCTTCATGGATTCTGAATTTCGTGCTTTATATTCTTCCCCATAGCAGAACTGTATAGTCTCTTATTTCCTCTAACACTAAGAATAGGCCTATTCTTTACCTTTTTTGTTTTGTTTTGTTTTTTGTTGCTGTATCGTTTTTGTTTTGTTTTTGGGTACTGGATATTGAACCTAGGGGAACTGTATAACTAAGCTACATCTTCGGCCCTTTTTACCTTTTTTTTTTTTTTTTTTTTTTTTTTTTTGTTTTGGAACCCAGAAATTCCATGTTAGGTATAGAAAAACTACCACACAGAAACCTGTACATGCATATTCACAGCAGTTCTATTCACAATAGCCAAAAAACAGGAGAAATAAGCTAAAGGTCTATTAACAAAGGAACAAAATATATTATGTCCAAACAATGAACTATTTTTCAGTCATAAAAAGAAAGGTAGTAGTAACACACGCCACAACATTGATGAGTCTTGAAAATATTGTGCTGGGCCAGGGATTTAGCTTGGTGGCACCACGCTTGCCTCACGAGTGCAAGGTCCTGAGTTCGATTCCCGGTGCAAAGGAAAATACTGTGCTAAGTGAAATCAGATACAAATGACCATGTATAGGAAACATCCAGAAGAGACAAAATCTATAGAGGTAGTTTAGAGGTTGCTAACCAACTGTAGGGTTTAAGAGGAAATGAGAAGTGATTACAAACAGGTATGAGTTTGCTTTTGGGATGCTGAGATGCTGAAAATGTTCTAAAATTAGACCATGGAAATAGTTGCACAACTCTATACAGATAGTGGAAACATGAAACTATAAATTACTAAACTTCACGGTACATGAAATGCATTTTAGTAAAGCTTAGGAGGGGGCTTTTCCTGATCAATTCTATTTGGTAGGGGCTTTTCTGAGAAGAAAATTAATGATTTAGGAACTAAAGTTTTTTTGTGTTTTTTTTTAAAGAGTCTCATTTCAGGATTCAACTAATTAGTATTATTTGGTGTTTTCTGGTCTATGCACTCACAGTTCAGTTCAGGTTCAGGTACAGCAATAAATGGTGCCATGTCATTCTTTGCAGTCCTGCCTCACTCTTGACCATGAAAGGATGACACAGGACCATTTTCCTAATTTCTAAATATAAGATGATAAAAACAAATTTCTTATCAGAAGCCTCCATCTGCTATACTTCTTCTACATATCAGTATTTTAAGAAACAAATGTGAAAGCCCAACATGGAACTTTTGGAACACAGTAGCAGCAAATAAAATTAGCTTAAGTCACACACATAAATGACAAGACTGGAGAATGAATCTACTTGGCTACTAGATCAGTGCTGCCTCTGCCATTTGCTCTTCCCCTGCTATCTACAAATGGAAAGATGTACAGACTGATATATTTGTACATAAAATATAATTGATGAATCCTGAAATATTACATTAGAAAAGAAGGCAACAAATATTCACACTTTAAATAAGAAAAGACAAAATATTTTTATATTCATCTGTCAGAAGGCATATTTACAACGAGGCTGATTCAGTCAAAGTTTGAGTTTTTTAAAAGAGGGGCCTTTTGGGCCAGGGATTTAGCTCAGTGGTTCCACTGCCCAGTTCACAAGCACAAGGACCCGAGTTCAATCCCAGTTACCAAAAAAAAAAAAAAAGAAAAGAGGGACCTTTCTAAAAGAAATAAAAACTATAGAGAAGGTCTTTCTACTTTCTTCCTGGACTATTAGTCTTTCTTCCTAGTGTGAAACAACAGGGACATCTAGTGGCTTCTAGAATAATCTGGGCAAACTATCTTTTAGAAATAACACTCTGAATTACACAGATAATGTTTCATAGATATTCCTCTGAGACAGATATTTTCCTTCGTAACTCAATGCCCTCCCACTGAGCTACATCCCCAGCTCTTTTTATGTTCCCTATAATCAAAGAACTCAGTAACTGCATTAAGTTAGAAAGAAACGAGCCATCCACAATTCACAGATTAATTCTGGAAAAGAGAAGTACATTTGGAGGAGTGAGAGTAGTAACAGAAGTAAGCTTAATAGAATGTCTGAGGTTAATGGGTAACATTAGGCAGATCCTCTTATCCAAAAGGAGGGAAGGAGGGTAAAGTACAGAAACAGAGCACATTAGGGTAGAACTGTCCAAGGTTGCCATCTAGGGTCAGTCCCCAGCACTGCAAAAAAAAAAGAAAGAAACAAGAAAAAGGGTGTTATATATTTACCTGAGATGAAGCAGCTTTGAAGAAAGTAAGTATTAATTTCCAAGTAAGGAGATAGCCCAGAACGTAACAGAAGTCTTCACTCAGTGGCTTAATGGTAACTATCTGTCCCACAGGAATACAACCCAGAATGTTTTCCAGTAAGTCCTCTTGAGTGCTCAGAAGAGACATCAGTATGGCTGGTGGTGACCTAAAAAGAAATGATGAAATGGTGTCATTTTCTCCATAACTTCTCCCTGAAAAAACTGATAGTATTTATAAACTCCAAACACTGTAGAAATATCTTTCTATTTTCTAAAAACCTTTAAAAATGCTCCCCTCTATAGTCTGATTTTTACTCATTTCACGTAAAGACAACTATGATATGCTACAGAAATATGGACCATAGATGTCAGCACTTAAAGAGACTTTTAGAAAACATCTATTTCAACTTCTTTTTTATAGATAAAAAAGCAGGGCTGGGGATTTAGCTCAGTGGTTCCGCTGCCTGCCTTCGAAGTGTAAGGACCCGAGTTCGACTCCCGGTACCAAAAAAGCCCCCCAAAAAACAAAAAAACCCTGTATAGATATAAAAGCAAAACAAAACAAAAAGCACATTACCCAGGAAGCCAAATGAATGATCCAGAAGCTAGTGAAAGGAAGTAGTGCTTCCACATTACCAAGTCGTTTATCACATTATAAAGGGCAAAGCGAGGAGTAAGATTTTACACTGTGTCACTTCATTTTTCTAATCTACTGCATACCATCTATCACTTAGCAGCATAGGAGATGCCATAATCATCACAATTTATCAGAAGGATAAACACAGGAAATAATCATGAGGTTTCTTTAAAGTCATAAGTCTGTATTCTCTTCTTAGGAAATTTAACATGCTCATTAGTTCACGATAACCTAAGTTAATTTTCTTCTTGAACTACTGAACTCATTAACAATCTCAATGAGCTTCTGAGATTTTCAAAAAATGCATATTTATCACCTTTTTAAGCTCTCTTCTCTGTAATACTCTATTTTTTCTCTCTTTTTACCTCTAGTCTGTCTTCTCCTGTGGCTTCCTTTCCCACCCCCACCGACTCAGGCCTTAAAGATTCTGCCCTCGTGTCTTCAGCACTGTGATGTCACATACCGACCCTTCTCTAGTCCGTACAAACAACAGCTCTGAAATCTCTCCACTTCCCACAATGCCTGCAACGCACTGTCATTAGAAATGGCATCCTCCTGCTTCTCCCTCTCTCTTTCTCTCTCTTTGTTGTTGTACTGGGGACTGAACCCAGGGCCTTCACACTGTGCTACACTGCCACGCTGTTTTGTACCTTTTGTATTTTGAAACAAGGTCTTGCTAAGTTCCCAGGGCAGGACTTGAATTTGCAGTCCTCTTGCCTTAGCCTCCCAGAGTGCTGGGATTCCAGGCGTGTGACACCACACTTGTTTCAGATGCTTCTCTTTACAATTCACTCTTCATTATTGTCACTTAGCTGGCAGTACCCATCTCATACTGTATTTCCAAAATCCTTTCAAAAACACCATTTTAAGGCCATCTATTAAATACTCTTCCAGTTTCACTTTCCATTATACCCACCTCCTATGCACACAGTACCTCACCTTTTATTTTATTCCACAAATAAGCACTACTTATATATGAGTTTGCTATAGGCCAGGAATGACTATGGGTGATGTGAATATGATTAGGAATAAGTGACAAAAATTCCCACCTGACAAACTTCCTTCCCTCACAGAGTTTACATCCCAGTAAAGGAAGATACTGACAGTTTAATAAAAAAAAGTGGCAAACACTCAACATCATCCACACACCTCCTCGACATTCGTGCCCTGGTAACTTTGAACAAGGTGTTTCTTAACTTACATCATACTGTCTTCCTTGTCCTGCGAAAATGTTACCTAACCTTAAAAGATAGTTTAACGCATCTCTTCCTCAAGAGCAAGTCTTCTCTTCATGATGTACATTAATTGTGTCTCCATGACATGGTATTCACCCGTTTTCTCAGCACTTCTCATACACTGTATATTCGATAATGGCTAAGACAGTAGATTATAAAATCCTTAAGAAAAAGAATGTATTCACTAAACACTATTCTCCCCTCAACATTTAATAAATACTATGGACAAAGTAAGCATTCAACAGATATTCCAACTGATACACTGCTTCTACAACTGCTATGTGGCCAGAGTTTTAGTGAAAGTGGCACACTGGAAACATGATTTAGGAATGATTAAGTGACACAATCTTTTGAGTAAACTCTAGATTTCATTTGTATCTTACAGATAACTTTAAAAAGGTCTATCTGTAGAACTGATATGTATTCTAAACTTAAAGTTGCTGTGTTGTTTCAGTCTTCCAAAAACGTACAGGTAGATTATGAGAATGTAATATACCAAGTTATAAAAAGAAAAATAAAACTTACAAGGCTGGTTCTTCTTCTTCATCTCCATAGGACTTTAGATTATCCTGGTCATACTGTGGTAATTCAGGCATCAACCTGGAAGTGGAAGATTATATTGAAATAGTTTATATTAAATTTTCCATTTTTAAATCATGTTTAAGAGCAGAAAGACTTAATACTTATTCTGTAATAAATTAAACTTTTTTTGATATATATATTTTTTTGGAGATGGGGGGGTCTCACTATGTAGTTCAGGCTTGCTTGAACTCAGTATAGACCCCAGGATGGCCTCGAACTCAGTGATGCTCCTGCTTCAGCTTCCCAAGTGCTGGGATTACAGGTGTGCACCACCACACTTGGCAATAAGTAAAACTTTCAGTGGTTTTTTTTTTTCTGAAATAATTACCTAAATGGCTAGACTACCTAAATAGGAACTGTGTAAGGAAAAAAATGACCTAGAATATCAAACAACTTGACACTCCTGTAGTCAGATCTCCTTTTTATTTTTAAATTGACTTTTAAATGAAAGTAAAAAGTATGTATATATACATATACATGCACACACACTTATATGAACACTATAACATTCATAAGACTTCTTACTTGTAGAGCATATGATAAACAGCAATTTGCACAGGCCTAGCTCTGAAGAGAAGTAACGGGACCAACGTATTTAACAAAGTCTGGAGATTTTCTGGCAAGTTTGTTTTGGGGCCAGTCCCTAATTTTTTGAGAAGTTTGTGACTCAACAGCTGATCCTTTGAGATGTACGTTAACGTTTCACACATGGGCTTCAGCATTGCATTTTCAAAGGTAGTTTCAGACAGATCTTTATTTTCTCCTGGTAACACAAAAGAAAAACAGGTATATATCCCAAAAGAAAGTTAGTAATATCAGTATAGGTTGACTGATTCGTAATCACATGTCACTTAATAAAATGAAATGAAAACCAGATCATAAACATTACAGCAGTCCTAACTAGGTACATGAACTGAATACATACTTTAGTTTAGCTCAACTGTTTCAGTGACCTATTTCACCTTTTGAAAAAACACATCTTCAGTAGAGGCTCCAGGCATTTAACTTAGTTCATGTTGTATGAATTACTATTATTTTAATTTGCAACAATTTTTAGATACCTTGCCATTTTTTAATGCATGTCAGTACTGCAGCAGCACACACGCCGCTTCCAAGAATCCAAGCTTTCTCTTCTAGCTCTTTCATTATATAGTACCATTTGCAATTTGTTTTAAAATATTCAACAAATCATTTTCAATGAATCTCATTACTGTGTCCTTTTTCACTTGCCTGTAACAGTCACCAAGAGAGGTAAAAGCAAACTGTGGATGCCTTGGGAAAAAAATTCTTTCCATTCACTGATGAGATTTACAGGAAGGTTGGCAATAGTTTCTGGAGTGGCTGAATCAAAAAAAGCACTGAGATCACAGGCCAAATCGCAACTGACACAGGCAAAGCGTTGTACAAGTGGAACAGAATACAGTGCCTGATTCTCATTTGTTGTCTAGAGAAACAACAGAAATGGAATAGGTAAACCAGAACACTACAAATAAAGACAATACAGAGAAACTTGCATGCATTTTTCTGGATTTAAAAATAAGCAGTTAAAGTCTAGGGAGAAATTTATATATTTTATATCAACACAACTTTCTTTCAAAATTAAGTATTAGGAATTATAATCATTAATAAACAATTTTTCTCAAATGGCCTTTCTGAAATTTCCTGATCATAGAAAGAAAATAATATCATTTACTATCTTCAGTTTACTATGGAAGGAAATACCATCTAATTTACTCAGAAAATAATGTCATCTACTACTTAGAGTGCAAAATATTAACAGAACATTTCTAATCACCCCAGTAACCCTACAAGTTGCACTTTTTTTTGGTTTTTTGAGACAAGGTCTCACTGTGTAGTTGAGGCTGGCCTTGAACTCAGTATGTAGAACTCACTTAGAGCGATCCTCCTGCCTCAGCTTCCTGAATGCTGGTATTATAGGTATGCGCCACCAGGCCCAGCTCAGTTATTTTAAAACTAAACTGAGGCTCAAACGAGTCAAGCTTAAAATTTGAAGTTACACAGCCAATAAGCAAAACAGAAACTCAAACCCATTTAATTCTGACTTGCTGTCCTGCAGCCACCAAGTACTATGCCTCTGCTGTTGCTTTGAGTCATAAAAAGAACACAACTTCCCTCTTAATTTGCATATCTTTCCTACATTACTCTGGCAATACTGTCACAGTGTATTTTTTAAATGATTTAATTATATCCACCCAAAAATCCCAAAAACCATATCAAGAAAAGATAACTACTTTCAAAGGCTAAATTACAAATATTAAATTAAAATAAGCTAATGGAAAGAACATTTTAATAGCAGTTAGTAGATGCAGTTACTAAATGATAACGGCAGTAATTAAATTGCATCATTTTTCTGGTTTGCCAAATAGTAGCTGGTGCGGAGAATATTAACAAAGTATTTTAAATGTTTCCAAAAGAATTAATTACTATGTTATTTAAAGAATGAGTAAATAGCTGTGATATAAAGTATACACAAAGAAGCAACAGAGGTAATGACTCCTCAGGTTAATTACCTCCAACCAAGCCAACATGGAGCACATGATGAAGTCCCACTCACTCTCTGCCAAGGGAGAGGAGCAGTATCTCAGAAACAGGCAAAGGAACCGGATTATTTCTATATTTATACCCAGTACCTCCGGATTTGCTTCTGAAAGATTACTGTGATAAAGATAAGAAACAAAATAATGAAAATTCAAAAAGCATGTAACAACTATAGTGACGCTAGAAAATATTCCCTTTTAAGTCGTATAGATGACTACTTTCCATATCTACCATCCTACAAACTTTAACTGTAACATACACAATACGGGTCCATATTAGATACAGGGAGGAATACAGATAAAGCATCACCTACCAAGTGAAAAGAAAAATATCTTCGTGTTCTTTCTTCCAGGATATTATAATTTTTAATACACCATGCAGTAGTTCTCCATCATCAATACTTCTGGTTTGCAGGCAAGAATTAAAAATGGCCAAATGCCCAAAACCTCCTAAAGTAAAATTCAAAATGAAAATTTAAAGAAAAGTTTATTTTTACAAATTACATCGTTATTATAAATTTCAATAACTCCACAGGAGAGAGACCTCTCCTCCGTACTCAGCACTTGGTACAAAACAGAATTAGTGGAAGTGGGACCAGGCTACATGATGCTGTACTGTTTTGTGTCAGGACATATCTCTACTGAACTCTCTTAAGAACAGTAAAACGGCATGACATAGAGTGCAAAGCTAAATAAGGACAAAACTGAACATACTATTCTATAATTCACACAGTACTCCACAGACATCTATCCAGCAAGTTCTTAGAGGGCACACCCTTTAGAATGGTCAATTAGGGGAAATGAGGCACAGCTTTAAGATACAGGAAGAAAAGAAATGAGCAAAGGGTACTTGTGGGCATAAATCTTCCCTTGAAGCATTTGTGTACTACAAAATAATAGCCACATCTTCAGGTAAGACTCACCCTAGCAATTGTCAACTTATGTAACAAAAGTATAAAGTAGGAACAAGTAAGTTAACTCCATTTATCTCTACTACAACTGATTTTACATATTAAGAAACATTTCTTTAACGTCAAGCAACAATTTAATTAGTGAAATATTTATTATCAAGCAACTAACCATTAGTACTGCAAAGATCTTCCTTAGTCCAGCCCAAAAGAGCAGGTATGCATTGAGAACTGAATTCTTTCTTTTCTTCTTTTGATAAAAATGGACAGAGACTTTGAATGGTATGTAAATAACCTTCTGTTAGTGGAAAGAAACTGTTTAAAGGAAAAACATGAATATTTATATGTGCAGTTAGTTATTTCATACAATTCCCCTTATTCTGACTATTCAAAAAGACTAATAAATCCACTATATAAACCACTTGTATAGAAAAAAATAAAACAATCTTAACAAGATACACAGCTACACATTTCTGATAAAATTTTAGAATTTTCTGCTTCCTCTTTTATGCATATTTCTAATTTTTGAAATGACAATATACGTTTTCCCTATGACTGACTGATTTATTTGTTTGTTTGTTTGTTTGTTTATTTATTTATTTTTATTTATTTATTGGTACCAGGGATCAAACTCTGGACCTTGCATTTGTGAGTCAGGCGGAGGCACCATTAAGCTAAATCCCTGGCCCTCCTTTATGATTTTTTAAAACTGTAACAGCAGGCTAAATGGTCAGTGGCACAGTGCTTGCCTAGCATGCATTAGGTCCTAGGTTGAATCCGCAGCACTGAAAGCACACACGTGTGCAAGCACACACATACACACTAGCAACATGCAATTATGCTCTGTTTAAGAGTTAGTTGACTCAGCTAGGTTAGCGGCACACACCTGTATTATCAGTACTTTGGGAGGCTCAGACAGAAGGATCACAAGATCAAGCCCAGCCTGGGCCACTTATGACTCAGTAGGACCTTGTCTCAAAATAAAAAATAAAAGCCTGAGGATGTAGCTCAGTGGGAAGGCCTTAGGTTCTATTCCCAGTACCTTGGGAAAAAAAACCAGTTCATTTAAACAGTACCAATTTTGGCACTGCACTGATATTTACATACACATATATGCATATATATTTGGGTTTTACTGACATAAACAATATCACACTAAATATAATCTATTATTTGTCACATTTTATAGATCTACATCAGAACATATCAAATATATTCTATTTCAAAGCTAAATGATTTGAATGTATATTTTAATTTAAAATTGCCTTCCAAAAAAGCCTAACAAATTTATACCTTCACCAAAAATGTATACGTGACTAATAAATTTTTAAGACTTAAAAAATATGGTAGATAAAATGTGCTTTTTTTTTTTTTGTATTTTGAGATAGGGTCTCACTATGTAGTTGAGGCTGACCTGGAACTCACTATGTAGCCCAGGGTGGTCTCGAACTCACAGCGATCCTCCTGCCTCAGCCTTCCGAGTGCCGGAATTACAGGTGTGCTCCACCACACCTAGCTTACAATGTGCTGCTTTTAACTTGTGTTTCTGCCATTATTCGGAAGGTCATACTCCACATTTCATAAATGAATTATCTTTGACCATTTCATCTCTAAATTATCTATTCAAATCTTTGTCACACTTTTCAATTTAAACGTGTTTACTGATTTGTAGGTGCTATTTATACATTATAGATAAAAATTCCTTATTAATTTGCAAATGTGTTCTCCTATTTTATCATCTGTTCTTGTCATTGTTTTTGTTAAGTGCACAGATTTCAACAAGGGTAAGCACATTCACCTCAAATAACTTATCTCCAGAACTCTTTGGAGTTCTTAAAACTGAAGCCCCACTCATTAAACAAGTTTCCCATTAGCCGGGTGTGGTGGTGTACACCTGTAATCCCAACACTCAGGAGGCTGAAACAGGAAGATCTCCGTGAGTTCAAGGCTAGCCTGGACTACACAGTGAGACCCTTTAAAAAAAAAAAAAAGTGCCCCCTTCCAGCCCAACAACCACCATTTTACTTTCTGTCTCTGTGAATTTAACTATTCTAAGGTAGCTCAGATTAAGTGAACTCATGGGTATTTGCTATTTTATGACTTATTTCATTCCATAGAATGTCCTTAACCTTCATACACATTGCAGTGTATGTCAGAATCTTCTTCCTTTGAAGGACTGAATAATACTCCATACCTCATTATTTTATGTTTATTCATTCACTCACTGATAGGCTCTTAAATTGCTCGATGTTTCAACTCTTATAAATTCAAATACCCATCTGTTCCTTCATGGATTCTGAATTTCGTGCTTTATATTCTTCCCCATAGCAGAACTGTATAGTCTCTTATTTCCTCTAACACTAAGAATAGGCCTATTCTTTACCTTTTTTGTTTTGTTTTGTTTTTTGTTGCTGTATCGTTTTTGTTTTGTTTTTGGGTACTGGATATTGAACCTAGGGGAACTGTATAACTAAGCTACATCTTCGGCCCTTTTTACTTGCGCTTGTGAAGCAGGCAGCAGAACCACTGTGCTAAATCCCCAACCCCCCTTTTAATTTTTGAGACAGAGGCTAAGTTGCCCAGGCTGGGCTTGAACTTTTGATCCCCCTGCCTCACACTTTCAAAATACTAGGATTAACAATGCACTGAAAATACAGACTAATACAACTATTTTTATAATTTATCTTTTCATCTCCCTTTGTGTTAAGTGTAATTGTAATTTTGATAAAATTTATAGTTTTGTTTTCATCATGAATAGAATCTCTTTATTCCCACACCATATTTGAATTGCTAAATAAGAAACTTACTGATTTTTCCATATCAAATATCTCTCAATAATTAGCCCTAATTATTCTTAATTCTGTAATACTTTTATAATCAAAAAAAGCATGCTCACAATTAAAAGCCAGTATCACGTTGCATGATTCCATTTATGTAACATTTGTAAATGACAAAACTACAGAAATAGAGAAGAGATTAGTGGTTACTCAGGGTTAGGAGAAAGGGAGGTGGCTACGGCTGTAAACGAGGACCCTTCTGATGAGACCGTCGTACCCACTGCCTGTCACAGTCACACACAGGTGTGCGTGTAACCCTGTCAAGTGCACTGGATCGGTGCCATTTTCTTGGTTGTGAAATTATACTACAGTTTTGCAAAGTGAAGCCACTGGGGAAAACTGGATGAAGAGTACACCTATTATGTCTTATTCTTTGCACTGTTTTCATTCTTCGTATAATTTCTTACCACTGTAAGTCAATCTAGGGACTTCAAGAAAAATGATACTGAGACATATGCATAAGGTTTAAAAAAATCAAAATTAAATTTAGAATTCACTATGCCAGAACATATACACATCTTTTCAGATTTCTTAGGGAATCAGTAAATTCAAAATGCTTGATGGAACATCTCAGCTAAGTATTCAATTTGAATGCTGGGCTTCTTCAGCCTATCCAACCCTATATTGTACTGCTTTGTCTTAACACATTACGTACTTTCATAATGTATTTCAACATGCTGACCCTCATTTAAAAAAGCAATTCACCTACCACCTCCACATAGAAGACCTGTGCTGGGATGAGAAAAAAAAATAGATTTCTACCAGAAAGACTTCTGGCGGAGAGAGAATGGGTTTATAAAATGCTACCTGTTGTAAAAATATTGTACAACAAAGTGTTGTTAAAGTTAAATATGCTTCAATTAAAAAAAAAGGGGGGCCATGTCTCTAACCTAAAACAATTTAAGTTGGTTTTGGTCCTTTTTTTTTTCCAGCTGTAATTGAGTTTATTGATACATTTTAGGGATACAGTACAGTTACATTCATTGTTGGGATCTTGTACCACTACATGACAAGTCTTGCTTCTCATTTTTTCCCCTTCCCTGCCCTCCCTTTACCCCCTCCTTCCCTCCCCATCTACAAGCACTTTATTTCCATCTTTTCTTTATCTCACATTTTTTTCTTTTGTTTTTGGTCTTTACTTCTTATTTCTTTTAATTTTTTCATTTCCCAAACCTGTTTTCTTGATTCATTATACATTGTTCATCAAATGGGGATTGTCAAGGTGAGCAATTATAAGAAATTATAAATTAAAAACATTTTAAATAAGAGTACCTTTCTTTTCTTTTATAATGTGGTTTTACTTCCTCAGGTGAAACGCTTCGGGAATGGATCAACTTAGCAATAATAAGGGACCATAGTGCACCATTTTCCCTAGATCTAAATAAGGAAAAAAAATATATTGTATCATCAAACGATTCTTACTAAGTTTTTAAACACTATCTGTATTCCTTTTCCAGAATTAAATCGTGTTATAAAGGCATCAATTCACCCAAAATTTTGTACCCAAGCAACTACCATCACTGTCCCAAAGATTAGGAGTTTAGACTTTCAATACTTCACAACTGAAACAGAGCTCTCTCTCCAAGGTAATCCCAATGTCCTTCAATCCCACGCACCTGTACACCTATTACAACAGCTAACGCAAAGGCTGACTGTGAGAGCAGCCAGAAGATGGGTAACACACAACAAATTAAAGCAATTTGTACAGGTTTCCATTTCTATTTCATCTGCACCCTAACTGTATTTATCAATTTAATAGTTTAGGAAAGGTCCAAAAATCTCCACTGGAAGGTTAAATCAAATATTTAATAACCATAAAGTGTTATAATTAAGAGGGATTATTCAGATCGGCCGTTTCACTGAAGCACTGGCATGAAATGGGCTTAAATCTTACAGAAGGCAAACCCATGAACAAGTAAAATAACTATTTAAAAAAACAAATTAAAATAGATTCTTACCTGTTAAATAGCAGTTGCAAAACACCAGGAGAAATACGAAGTACACATAAATTATCATATGTAATATTCATTTTTTGAAGCATTTCACAATATCCAGTTACAAAACTTGGTGGATTGTCTAGTTCTTCACACCACTGCAGCGAATAGAGTAGTTCTGCGGCTAAGAGAATGGAAAGCGCCACTGAGCAACTGCACATGTGAGAAATCCTCCAACACTTTCATTTCTCTGCCCCATTTTCTAACAACACTGATCACTCACCTCAAAATATCTACGAACTGAATGTCAAATCTGCTTTGAAATGTCCAAGGACAGTGAAAACTGAGAGCAGCTTTCTAATATGAAATATCAACCTTGGTAGGCACAGAGGCCTATATGTGTGGTCCCAGCTATTCAGGAGGCTGAAGCAGGAGACCAGCTTGCACAATTTAGTCAGACTCCATCTCAAAAACCAAATAAAAGAAAAACAGCAGCCCTCTTCCAAAGGGGACAATTCTTAGTCTTTTTCCTCATCATTTAGGAATTGAAAGAAGCTAGATATTGTTACACCAATTATAACTATTTCAAGAAGTTTCACAGGTATTATACAATTAAAGGAGTGAAGAGCTGAAACTATCAAAGCCAATCTGGTTTTTAAAAAAAAAAAGGAAATAGTATGAAATGGTTAAAAAAAGCACAGGCCTCAGTACCAGTCTGGTCTGGATTCAAATCTCTGTCTTGACCTACAAATACATAATCATCAGTTAAGACACTAAAATTTTACTTCATACGATGGTTGTGAGAATTAAATGACCAAACTATTACAGAACCTTGCAGTAACAGGTTTCTAAATCAGAAATATTCACAAATCCCTTTTATAGCACCATGTGTGGAGCGTAAAATCAGAAGCTTTAAGACCTGATCCAAAACCAAGTGACCCTAGTCAAATCAGGACAACAAGAATAACAACCATAGTATTTGACAGAAACATGCGATGAAAGACTAAATGACACTACCGTTTGTAACTACTGCAGTAACAAAATGAACAAAAATAAATCATTTCTCTAATTTCCAGTTATGATTTTGAACAGACTGACTCTGAACAATGTAACCTGGCTACTTCTTTGTTCTTAAGTAAATGTGGATGGAGCTGGCTGACAAAAAAGGTGTTCTGGCTTTCTTCACAGACGCAATATTTTCCCTACTACATGGTAACTGTGCTACAGCTGAAGGCTTATAACGACACTGACACAGGATTTGTGTAAATCGTCTTAAAGAAGACACACCATTTCTCACAGTTCTTAGCCGTGTACTATACTGGGGACCGAGGTGTTCTTGAGGCTCAATTTGTCAGGAAAATACCAAGTGGCTGGTGAATTCTCAAGTATAGGGGGTCAAACACCAAAGGATAATTCAGAAGCCTTGATTAAACACCCACCTCCTTGGGGTATTGCCGTAGTATCTGCTGGTTTGTACTGATGTCACACTAGCTTGACCCATCATCTCATACCAAACTACCAGGTCCGCTCACGAGACTACAGCAAGATTTCAGTGTTCACAATTTAACATTTATCACTTAAGTAACCTAGTGTCCCACCACCAAGACAGTCAATAAAAACCTATAATTATTGAATTAGATCTAAATTGCAGCTAAATCAAAATTACTTTAAAACTGTATGCACTTGTACATTTTATCTGAATCTTCAGGTATACTTACTTATTTCCTCAAGTACATTATTTTCTAGAACTATTTTCTTCTTCAGTGCAACTAACGTCATTTTGCTCAACAGTGCCGAAGTACACAAATGGCTGGGAAGTGTCTTTGTATCTTGTTCTTTAAAATCTGTTTTGAAACATTCATAATTTAAACTCAATCTTCCTTCTAAAAGAGGTCTGTGTAACCACTGTAAAAGGAAAACATTAGATTATGTACAAGATAATTAGGTATTACAATTCAGAATTGCTATGCAATTCAGACAGGAGACAAAATGGATTACTAGAATAGTTTATTAGTTAAAAGCTTCCGAAACCTAAAAGTTTGGTTTTTATTACAGAAAACTATCAATACATATATTTCTTTAAGACTCCTTAGGGGAATAACCAAGTCTTAATGACCAAATGATGTACTGCAAACATCAAAAGTCCAATATGAGTATTCAGAAAAATAAAGACAAAACAAGATGCGTATATTTTTTCCTCAGGATAAAATAAAAAAGTACTCAAGCCTCATGAAATGCAAACTCCACACTGACACATGCGCTCTCCAATCTCAAACACACCTGAACTGGAAGAGACTGTCTCATATTTTCCCACTCAGTGTTGCTGGGCAGTACGCTTCCAATATAAACTCCCAGAAGAGAAGCATCTTCACTCTCCACAAGTGTATTTAGCAAATCATCAACAGCAGACAAGAGGACCTGTAGACTGAAAAAAAGTGCAAAGATCTTAGTTGTAGTCATGCGATGAGTAGCTTGAACACTTTAGAACACAGTAAGTACCCTATGACAGGTAAAAGCAGCCGGGCATGGTGGTGCATGCTTGTAGTCCCAGTATGTGCGAGGCTGAGACAGGAGACTGCCATGAGTTTGAGGCCAGCCTGGGCTACATAGTGAGTTCAAGGCCAGCCTGAAATACACAGCAAGACCCTGTCTCAAAAAGGAAAAAAAGAGAGAAGAGATCCTTACCTCCTTCTAGACCAGTGGTGGCGAACCTATAGCACACATGTGACACTGGACTGGTTGTATCACTGAAAGCTCTACAAGGTTCACCATCACTGCTCTAAACATGTACAGAGAGATACAGAGTCAAACTGGGAATGTAATCCCGTATTTATGATTTGAAATACAGTGCAGTTTCTATACCGAAATGTAGGCCAGACTAATTTCAGATCAAATACTTCTGAAACACAGCTACTTTATCTCATGCAAACAGTACGACTATTTGATCTAATCCCAAAATCTTTTAGAAACAATGTTTTCACTCTCACTATATGCATTTAGGTATGATACCTGAAATATATTTTTAATCCAATACCTTAAAGCAGTGGCTACCTGTCCCAAAATAAATATCCCATATAATCAGTATGTGTGGTAACCATGAGAGGCACAAATAAAAATCCATACCAACTTTTAACAAGGATAGAGCCACCATCACATCACTGAGTACAAATTGGTGGACCGGCAGATTAAACAAATTATTTTTCACTGAAACATGTTTTTGGAAAAATTGGTTTGTATTTTATCTTTTAAGCCCGGTAGATCTCTTACATAACGAATCACTTCTCATAGGTACTCACACTACCGTGGAATTAAGCATAGAAACACACTGTGCAACTAACTGAGCACAGGGATTTACCTTGTATTATCCAAAGGTGAAGCCTGAACTTGCTGCTTCAGCCACAGAGCAGACAAACGCAGGAAGGTGCTCTGTCCGTGTGAGTCACTGGTTTTATGGACCAGTAAGTTTACACCAGAAAGACAAGTATTTTTCAGTTTACATGTTAGAAAATCTAAAATCAAGATATCAACAGGAATGTGTAATCTCACTGACTTGATTTTAATCCATATACAGTGTCTTTATGGTAGCATTTTAAAAAGAAAACACAAGTTAAAATTAAATTGCAAAAATAAATTACCTACAATAATGCAAATTAGCCCGTGCCAGTAAGTGTAAAATACTAAGAAACTGTCTTTTTGGATATGTAATTTTTTAAAATTATCTTTAAAGCAAAGGTGGGGGAGAAGGGCTTTCCATTAATAGAGGGGAGTTTTTTGGCAGCAGGCAAATATTTTATCGGTAGATCTTAGGTACACAATATGACGACACACACTCATCATTAGGAATCTGTACCTTTACATGACATATCTTGGTTCTGGTTCTTTTCTTTTTTCCCCATTCCCCTGCCCTCCCTTTAACCCTGCTACCCCTCCCCTATTTACAAAGGCTCTGTTTCCATTTACTCCTTTTCTCATATTTATTTCTTTCCCTTATTTCCTTTGCCCCCCTACACCTCCCACTTCCCCTTCTCCTTTGGACCTTTTCTTCCTATTTCACATTATCTATTATACATTTTTTGTTTGTTTTTTTGGTACCAGGGATTGAATTTGGGTCCTTGAGCTTGTGAGGCAAGTGGCAGAACCACTGAGCTAAATCCCCAGCCCCTCTATTATACATTTTGATCCTAATTTACACTTTCAGTTTCTCACACCAGAGAAACTATTCAGTATTTACACATGCGTGTCCTGTTTATTTTGCTTAAAGAGTACAGCCTCAAAGTGCATTCATTTAGCTATAAGGCTCTAGTTTCTCATTCTTTATTTTTTTTGGTTTTTTGAAACAGGGTCTTACTATGTAGTTGAGACTGAACTGGAACTCACTGAGTAGCCCAGGCTGCTCTCGAACTCACAGCGATCCTCCTGCCTCAGTCTCCAGAGTGCTGGGATTACAGGCGTGCACCACCACGCCCGGCAAGTTTCTCCTTCTTTATGGCTAAGTAGTACTCCATTTTATATATTAAAAAAACCACACATCTTCTTTATCCACTCTCCAGGTTTTTTTTTTAATGTTCCTTTCATAAATAAACCTGAATTAAACATAGGCTAAAAATATAGTCCTTACAATCTCATTTTCATATACATCAAAACTGAATATTTTTAATACTGAGTTATTATTATCCTTTTATGAATGCGATATCAAAAAATCAACTTGAAAGAGTTACTGAATGGACTGATTGTCAATCATCTGCTAATAGCCCCTACCAAAACAGTTCCCTTAATATCAGAGAAGTACTTTAGACTTAATGTCTACTTACACCTTTAATATGGTTTCTAAACTGAAAGTTTCTAAGACTGTAGCTATTAGCTCAAAATGCTCCATACACACTATGATTCAATTAATAAATCCTGGGCGCTTACACTCACAATGAAAGTCAGAGCCAGAGATTTCCAACTAAACATTTAAGCACTGGGCTATTACCTGGCAAATGTGTTTTTTCTTTACTTTGAGAACATAACTGAAAGAGAGTTAATAATAAATCTTCAGATGATGGCATTAGTAAGCATCCTTCTGCTGAGCTGAAATAGTTATAGGCCACATCACAAATAAAAGACACTGGTGAGTCACTCTTTTCAGCTTCTGACAAGTCCTTTGTTTTGGATAAAGTTTCATGAAGTTTAACAATAATTCTTTCAACATATACCTCTTCAATCAAGTAATCTAGAGAAAAAAAGCCCAAGCAAAAATTAGAAGACATTAACAGTGCATTTTTAAACATCTTACTTTTGGTTAGTAACCATGTTAGTCTTTTTTTTTTTTTTTTTTTTTTTTTTTTTTTTTGGG